GAATGTACAACTCTTTCCTACTAAAAAAATTTTCAACTTGCATTTACTAGTAACAAAAATAAATAACGATATCATGTTTACTTCTATTTCATCTCTTCCTGCCATAAACATAGTAGAAGGATGGAATACAAAAACACTAATTGGTTTTTTGAACAAGCAAAATTTAAAACTCAAGGAAGATCATTTTGAGGTTCTTCGTAAGCAGGAAATTGATAGCGAAGCTTTCCTTAGGTTGAACATAGATAAGCTTATAGTTTACTCTTACAAACTTCCTGGTGGACCCGCTGAAAAAATCTCAAAATTTTTTGAAAGAATTAAGGGCGAGAACCAGAGTAAGTAGTACCACGACTGCATTCGAAAACACAAAATGCCGAGTCTCTGACTCATATTCCAAACCTATACTGCTTTCTCTGCAATAATTTCATTTATTAACTTGGGTCTCGCTAATACTAGAACTTAAGAAAAAAAAGAAAGGCAGAAGAAGAACATAAGATTATACGGAGTTGTTTTGTTTTGTGTTGTGCTTATTTGCACTAATATTTTGTTTGATCAGCTGTGATTACAGCACTAAAAAAAAAAAAATAGATAGTAAATAGTGTCATTACACGAGAAGAGCGCCCTATTGTCTATTTCGTGGATCCGACAGAGCAGAGTGCTCCACTTCTTGAATCGATAAATCGAGGCGAATTTGTAGTGTTATATGGACCATGAGCCTCTGGGAAGTCCACACGAGTGCTCCAACTTCAGGACCAGTTAAATAGCAAAGGCTTTGTTTGCATCTAGTATGTTAGCTCCTGCTTAATAGTTGTTTGCTAAATTATCACAGAATGTAATCAGCCTTTATTTTTTCAACTTTCTATTATGTTATCATTCCCCTATATAGCATATCTTTTGAACATGTTAACATGAAGAATGTAGAATTTTTCTGGCAAACGCTCGGCACGACACTTCAACGTAATGCACCAGAACATTTTGGTCCTTTAAAAAGCCTACAAATCAAATCCGAAGACGATTTTCTTAACACTTTTCATGGAACCCAATGGAAGTCTTTAGATACCATTATCCTGTTTGATGAGTTTGATATATTGTACAATGCAAAAGAAGATATTCTTATCTTGTGTTTGACGACTCTTCATGGCATCAAAGCCAGCAAACAAAACTATGCTATACGCTCTGTCATTGCTATCGGACCCTTCAGTATTATGTATTTAAACTCGAATAATTTGACCATGTCACCATTCAACGTTAACGAACTATTTTGGAACCCGAACTTTTTTTTGGAGCAAGTACAATTCATATACAAAGAATTCACGGATGAATATAAATTGACTATTGACCAAGAAGATGTTGAAGACATATACATACAAACAAACGGGTATGTGGCTAGTGCTATGTAATTTTACTTCCTTACTGAGTTTTAATTTCTTGCTACGATTTTTTTATAATAGGCATGCTGGTCTTATCTGCCTTTGTGGACGTGCGATCTATAGAAAGTTATTATCAGAGCTAGAAATGGAAATGCACTTGAGCTATGACAAATGGCAACATTTTACCTCCTCCTTATTAGTAAATTAGATCTTAGAGTACCCAACGTTTATAAGGATGAAAGACACTCTCCTGAGAGATGATACTGATATAAAACAAGCTGTAAGGCTCCTCTGGACTGATTTTTTAGCGAATTTTGACCCTGTAAATGTTGGGATGCAAAATAATCTAGTCCAGTTTCTTACAGCAGAAGGAGTTCTGATCTCCAGAAAAAATGCTAGAACATATAAAGATTCCTCGCTCTTGGTGTACTCGCTAATCTATTAGCAAATAGTCTCTAAAGTATTTCCAACTTCTCCTAAAGTAGAAGTTCTCTATCATCCTTCAACGGGTACCTTAGACATACTTAAGGCCTTGAAACAAGTTGTCTGCATATTTGACAGAGAGATTATGAAGTCCTGCAATTCTTTCAAGACAGCACATGTGCTGGTCAATAATGTTGATAAACTAGAAGTCCCTAGAGAGTCAGTTTATGATGCGGAATTGTATCGGATAATGTCAAATTGGCTTGTTGGATTCACGATAACCGGACAATGGCATCTGAAATATTGTATTAGTGGACATATCAATCATAAATATGTTGACATAGTCATCTCACGATCTAATAAAACAATTGCTCTTGAGCTTTTAGCTACAGCAACAAAAAAAGAGCTCAAAGAACATTACGAACAGGTACTCATATATGATAAGAAATTACCTGCAGATGAAACATGGATTGTCCATTTCACCTGTGAAGAAAACACCATTTCGGAACTATGCTGGCCAACCAAGTCTCAACTGCAAAAGGGTCTTCAAGTCGTATACTTTTGGCATGATCTTAACTTTATAAAAATTAGTATGATTGCATGTTGGTGGAATATGAATAATAATATGAAGCATGTTACTGATGTTGAGGAAATAATGGTGCATCCCATTGTAAATATTTCTTTGATTAATCGCTTTGCATTTCATATTACTAATGACCTTTGCTTGATTATAGGTTATACAATAGTTATAATATAATAATTAGAAACAATATCAGAATAAGAATAAATTAGGTGTATTTATTTTTATCTCTAAATTAGATAGCAAAATCAAATTAATCACTATTCTACAAAGAAATATAGTATGCATTTGTAATTATAAAGCAGTAATAAAGCTGGCCCTGGTGGCCGATTTGCATACATAATCGCGTTTACTTTTGCATGTGTATTTCATGAATTTATTTTATTGTATTGTTATAGATATATATAATCAGATTTTTTATGTAACTCTAATCGTGAACATTGTTCACAGATTTTTTATATGAACTCTATATATACTATATATAACAGTATATGTGGAATTTCATTGTTTATGGTTTTGTCATGTTTTTTTTAACTCAATAATTTAAATAAATTGCATCTTATATAAAAATTATTATTGAACTATGCAATCCGAACTAGATTTATTAAGACAGGAAAATGCAAAACTCTTAGCCGAGAATGCTCAACTGAGACAAATTATAAAGAAAAAAGATTTGCATGTGAAATTAAGAGATGCAGAGCTTAATACTAGAATTGCGGAATTAGAACGATCTGCAAAGGAACATGCTGAGAGTGCGAGACAAAGCCAGACAGAAAATGCTGAGCTTAAGGGCAGAGTTGCAAATTTAGAACAAGAATTCAAGAAGCAGGATTTACAATTCTTGATAGAAGAATGCGAATCTACCTTTCAAATTGAAAACTATAATTCAGATATCACTTCACAAAAGAATACTAATATTTTTCAATTACCTGTTTCAATTATTAAAACCCACCCAATGAAGAAAACAGTACTCTATAGATCCAAAACAGGTACAAAGCACTGTTTCTTCTGAATCAGATCTCGACAATACCTCTAAACGGGTAATAAATACAACTTCTATTATGTCTAACCTCAGAGAAATTAAGCAAAGCTCAGAATCTCAAATTCCTGACTCAGTCAAACTAAAATCATTAGAAGAAAAAGAGATCGACGAATTCATAGATTTGGAAAATAAGAAGAGAGTTAGTAATATAATAAGACAGAGGAACAGAGAAACGTTCCAAGATTAAAACACAACTTTGGACAATATTTCTTCAGTAGAGCCAATTTCATCCAAACCACTATATAATATAAAAACTGTGAACAATGTTCACGATTGAGAAAAAATTATACCAGAGTTTGCGCAAAATGTGACTGAAAAATATATTAAGGATTCAAGTTTAGTGACCAAAATTGTGCAAGGTTTGTTACAAGGATTTTTAGTAAATTCTATAGAAGATAATATCGAATTTATTAATAGCGAACCCTCAGATTCTCCACCTGGTGCAGTCGAGCTTACTCATTTGTTGTATCAAGCATGTAAAGCGACAAAAAATTTATCAAAATTAAACGGGAAGAAATTTCATCCTGGGGTCGTTATTCTGAAAGATTTGAAGATAAGGTTATAGAACTTAAATCCAAAGACAAAAATCTTAAGGATAAAACTGCAAGAGCTCAAATTTATAATGAAATGAGACTATACCTTACAGGTATTACTGATGAGTATATACGCAATATAACAAGCAAGTCAATAAAAATTAATAAGTTGTTTGGATATGATTATGATTCTGTGACTTTAAAAAAGAATAAAGGTATAGGGTGGCATATAGTTAAGTGTGTTACCTACAGCGCTGATACTATTTCAAGACTTACTAATCTTCAAATCCAGTATTTTATAGATCAAGTAGGTGTGACAGTATCGAAAACCGTGAACACCGTTCACGATCAGACAAAAACTGAGGTGAGTACTCAAACTAAAGTAAATGTGTTAACCAAGTCTCAAGTCTCTGAATCAGAAGAAATAGAATGCAGAGCATCAGAAATCAAGGTAGATACATCACCCGAATCACGCCAAACTGTACCTTTTCAATATCAAAATGTTATTGACACTCTATATGCACTAGCCAAATCTCAACTCGAAGAGAAGGTTCTATCGGAAACTCAGGTTAGTACTCAAGCTAAAGTAAATGTGTTAACCAAGTCTCAAGTCTCTAAATCAGAAGGAATAGAATGCGGGGTATCAGAAATCAAGGTAGATACATTACCCGAATCACGCCAAACTGTACCTTTTCAATATCAAAATGTTATTGACACTTTATATACACCAGCCAAATCTCAACTCGAAGAGAAGGTTCTATCAGAAACTCAGGTCAACCCATTATCCACATTACAGATAGGCACCACACCTATATCTATATCCAAGCCAATTCATGACCGTGCAAGTTTTCATAGGGAAGTATTAGATCAATATCCTGATATATATTATGAATATAATGATTATTATGGAATTACTGCCGAATCTTTATACCCGCTATGCAAGTTAGATCATGAGAATGAGGAAGGTATCGAAGGCAGATATGAAGATGGATTCTATTATATTAAATATGAACAGCGTGGAATTGAAATTGAGGTGATAGCATGAACCACCTTCTCGTGATTGCATCTCTCGAAGCCAGGAAAATAGATAGCAGGAATATATCATTAATATGTGTCAGCATCCATTTTTCTTATCACATCATTTATCTTTTTTTGAACTAGAGAGGAAAAAGGGGTGTCTCTCTGAGGCATGTTTATATTTTGTTGATTATTGTTAATTTAAAGAGATGTGTGACCATATAAAACAGGAACATGAATATGCTGGCAAAGGCCAATAAAACATTAACTCCTGAATATTTAGAGTGGGAAGCTATATTGACAGAATTGCCAAGCATTTTGACAGATAAAATTCATTCTAGGTTATATAAAAGATATAAGAATAAAACTGGACTCGATCCCTGGATAAACTCGAAACTTCAAGATCCTCCCAAATTGAAGAAGATGCTAGTAATTGTATTTCATAAGACTGTATTACCAAGATTTCTAAATTTCTGGATGAAAAAGATGTGATTATTGAAACCATACATAAATGTTTTTCTTTTCTATCATATACTAATTCAAATGCATGGCACCAGGATGTTTTTAAATATACCGATTCAGAAGCTAAATACCCAGTATGCAAAGAGGTACATACACATTGAGGTATATGGAGCGATTGGAGCTGTCTTGGTAAAAATGATCACTATTTTCTTAATTGCCTATTTCGTATTGATCAAAAGAAAGTTATAGTTGCAATACAGAGTTTACAGAAAAGTGTGTCAAACAAACCTCAGGAGGTAGAACCTCGTTATTCTCATGACTTACCAATTCATCCAAACAAAACCCGCTTTTATCAGTATGCCATCGAACATGAAATAAATCCCAAAGAATTTTTGATTATTACAGACACTAAGAAAAATAGGTGGACCACGGGATGTTTTTGTGGGGATTTGAAAAGAGATATACGTTTCTATCATAGTGGAATAGAAAGAAAAGAAGACTCTAGAAAATATCATAAATTTTTAACTGATCGTAAGAGGCTAGTCGGTGAAGAGTTATTATGTCGCAGTATACTAAAAAGTGGTTTGAGTACTGCATAGCTCGATGATCTTATGGAAGAATGAAAGAAAATCCATACTCAATTCATACAAATTTTTAATTAGGCATGACCAGGTACAAATGCCCTACTTTGTAAAAATAATTAACACTTTTCTAGTTATATATTACAGTTTTAGTCAGATACACATAAAAATAAAAAATGGCGAGACCACGAGACCTCTTTATTTCATAAAAATATTGCCAGAACAACAATATAACATACAAATAAAAAAAAAATTTTATAATAAAAAATAAAAAAAAATAATATAGGGGGTACAATTATAGATAGTCATCTGCATGACCAGGATTTATAACACTCCAGTCATTATTTTTTTTATAATTTTCTACAGCTTCTCTCGAAATAGGGTAGAGGAGGTCATTATTTGATTTTAATGTAACAGAAAATTATATTTCAGAGAAATACTCAAAACCCATTCCAGAAAAATACAAACTTAATTACGCAATATGAAATTTACTTACAAGTTCTATTACTGTATTGGGGTCTTCAATTAGACGATCTTGGATTAGACGATACTGGGTTAGACGGTGTTGAGTTAGGTGGTGCTGGGTTGGACAGTGCTAGGTTAGACGGTGTTGAATTAGGTGGTGCTGGGTTGGACGGTGCTGGGTTAGATGGTGTTAGATTGTTAGAATTATTAGTACTGCTCATTTTGCATTCCTAAAAATAAAAAATCATAATGAATAAGGTTTCGCCCTAGTAGTCATTCTAGAAAACAATTGTAGGTCGAAACCCTCTATATAAAACAAATACATATATTAGAAATAAATTACAAGTGAATTAAGTAAAAAAAATTATATATGAGCAAAAAATATTATAACCCACTCAACAAGGAACAAAAAATCGCTTATTTTTATACCATCCATTCGCTAGATCTGAAAAACCTGACAGAAAAAAAAGTTATATGATTAGTTATTGTGTTATCCTAACACAATACCAGATCCAGCCACATAAAGCAACCCCATTCGGCTATAAGTTCCAAATACTGAATCCATTTCGTCGTTTTTTAGGTGAAATTAAACCCCCTTAGATTTGATGATCACTACTACAAAGTGAAAAAAGTTGACGATCTGGGAATGGCGGAGATTCCAAGTCCTAGTAATATATGAATTTTGATAAAACTACTGATAAAAAAAGTTGTACTCTTCCCTATTATAGCCCTTTTAGACACGAAGTGTCCTGCTTCGCAGAGTTTCATACTTTTTCTTATCGCAGTATCATATATAATAAGAAAAGGCTTTCTAGATATTCGTTATCAAAAATCGACCATGAGAAATTAAGGTAACACCGCATATAGTTTAATACAGGCCATTGATTATTAAAGCCGGTCAAGTTTTTATCGCTATTTTATCTTCGACCTAGGCCAAAATAAAAGCAGACTGTTAAATCATATGATATGATATAATACATACTTATTTTTTCTAGCATGGATCAATATTGAAATAAATCAGTGATGCTAGATGTTTGATTGTTATAATAGCATAAATAAGGAAGTTCGCGCTTATTCTAAATTTGTAAATCGGGCTTAAATATATACGTAGTGTGTTTCAATAAGTTAATAGATTTGCCAGGTCCAATAATTGTAGTGCCGAATTTAGTAAAGAATTTAATTATTTGTACTAGAAATTATCGTGCTACGTTAAAATGCCAAATAAGCTATAATTTATAATAAAAGGGTCTTCAGTACAAAGTTCTGTTTCGAATTTAGGTGAAAAAAGCAGTTGATAGAACGTGGTTGCATTATAAAAAGCGCATATATATATTTACAAATATTTTTAAAAATCTGCCCCTCAAATATTCGCCCAGTATATACACTTATTTTAAATTTGTAAATGAGTTGAAGTGCCAAATATATCAAAATCCAGTCCAAAAATTGTGATACATGTTGATCAAACATCCCGCATAATGCTTTCTGTACCATGTGATGTACAAATATTTATGGCTTTTTGTTAAAAACCGCCCCTTGAAAACAAACATATTGTTATTAATAATATACTCTGCATCAAATTTATACACAGCCCAAAACTAGATATTGATATATATAATCGCATAATAGTGCTATATAAATTCCTTTAGAGCAATTTTTTACCGATATTCTACTTTGCCTTCATGTCGATAAGACGATTGCTCAAGTTATTTGCATGGGTTCGTGGAATTCAACAGAGCTATGATAGTCCTGTGCTTTACGAAGGTGTTTTGTCTAGTCCATGAAAATACACAACCTAACTGTACCTTTAATATATAGTCTTCTCAGGTGTAGTTATAGCCTTTCGAGGCAGGCCCAGGATCCGACTATTACCTCCCTGCAATTTACTTCTTCTTTTTCCAATAGTCATGCAAAAAATTTCATCTCTATTGAGCGATAGGGCCTCTGACTTTGTTTTTTCACATTTACAAAAACCCAATTTTAGAGGGCATGATAGTCACTACAATTGTCTACGTGGTAAGGAGAGGAAGACCAAACGAGCTTCCCATGGTTTAGTCCACTGAGTTATGAGATGAGAAATAGTTTGAATGTATCTACCTCGAAACTTAGATAAACACATAACATTTTCCTTTATCCTAGGCGTGATCGTCATCCTCGATGTGGGGCATATATTAGGGGAAAGGTGATGCAGACTTCCTAAACAACTGAACCACACCACAGAGAGTGATTGAATGCATCCACCAGAAAAAATAATAAACAAAATTTAAGAGACTTGTCTCATTGCTCTGCAATACCTTACTATACTGTCATTGATTGGTAAAGTTATATTCGACCTGAACTGGGTATGTATTGCGTTTCAAATTTGTTAATTTATATTGAATCGTTTTTGTGTTGATAGAACGACCACCCAGGTTACTTGTTTATGGGTATGCATAGTTATGCAAAAAATTTCGCTTGAGTCTTCACCTCTTGACGATAGGGCCTCTGACTATGTGTGTTGTGTATTCGA